TTTAGAGGCCTGGGCTCCAAGGACCCGCCAGGCCTCTAAATTTTCGGGACCTGGGCACTTCAGGATTAAGGTTAGCAGTTCCAAATTGTGGGTGGGTTTAGGGTGTGGGGGTTCAGGGTTTAGGTTTGGGTTTTGTTTGTGAAAAAGAAACCAGATTGGACTAGTGCACATGTTTCTTATTGAGGGTGAAATGAATCGGCCCGTTTGGGGCTATCAGTGGATCGGGGCTCATCTCTGATTAGCCTATGTATATTTCTAGTAGCTACACAGAAGTTTGCATAGCAGCGTGGGGCCGGGCTTAGATTAAGAATGCAGGATGGTGCATCGCACGCTTTGGGGGCTTATGTGGGTTGAGCCTCTCCCGCCTAAACCCGTAAGTCAAAACCGCCACCTTCATGAACCCGACTATGTTGCCCGGAATGGCACTGGCATTTCGGAGCTTTGCTGCAGCAACTGGTTCTTCGCGATGAAATCCCCGAAAACTTTGGGGTAGTGGCCAGAGAGCTTGAGCTTTCTCTTCTTGCCAGTCCTTGCAGGAAAGCTGAAGTTCAGCAAAAGTTCGATTAGGAATTATAGCAGTGTCGTGGTTTGCGTAGCACAAATATTAACTAGAGCACAAACAACAACACCAATACCAATAACGCCACCGCCACCACCACCACCGCCAGATTACCCTACCACGACCACCACCAACAACAACAACAACAACTTACTATTACTACTACTACTACTACTACTACTACTACTACTACTACTACTAGTACTAGTACTACTACTACTACTACTGCTACTAGTACGACTACGACTACTACTACTACTACTACTAGTACTACTACAACTATATAGTACTATCTACCACTACTACAACAACTACTACTACTACTACTACTACTACTACTACTATACTACCATAATAGTCTCCATTGTAGTTCCTTATTCATTAACCATTAATAACTATATTTATTGGATCCTAACCATAAAACAAGTTAACCAAAAAAGAACTACAATGGAGACTATAGGGAGTCCTAGATCTTGTACACGTAGTACATATAACATACAAGTATGTATATATATATATATATATTTGGTACTGGTACTGCTACTGCTACTACTACTACTACTACTACTACTACTACTACGACTACGACTACTACTACTACTACTACTACTACTACTACTACGGTTGATGATATAAACCCTGCATTACCTCGATGCTAGACTATGGGAATTATGGTATATTGCTTATCCTGGGTAATGCAGGATTTATATCATCAACCGTACAACGACGACGACTACTACTACTGCTCCTGCTGCTGCTGCTGCTGCTCCTGCTCTGCTACTGCTATTTCTATTCTGCAACAAAGGTGCACTGCAACCTTGCCGCCCTTCTGCTGGTGTTTTGCAAGACCAGAGTGGCTGCGCCTCAACTTCTCCAGCGTGCCCTTGGGCATCTTTGAACAGTTGATGTCGGAGAGGTATTTCCTGAGTTCATAATATACATTAGTATTACATAGTAGAAGAAGAAGTCTCCGTGACATATAGCAAGCCCGGCCACGCTGTGCCAAACACGAAGGTGCGTTTCGGTGTCCAGTGGCCGTAGTTAGCCATCCAACTTAGATCGATTTCAGGAAACACACCGGATGGCACATGTCAGACTAGTCGAGTACAGTGTCCCAATTCCATCACGATGATTAAGGTGCAGGCAATCTTTTCAGAGTTGCGACATGGTTCTGGATATTCATCACATGCTTGAAGGGCTCGAACTCTGTGAGCAGGGAGCTGGACGGCTGCTCTACCTTAATAGTACACCATATATGTAGTCCACGAGTACTGGTCTCAGGCACAACCCTTAACACCCCACAATTATTGCTGTCTAGTAGCCAGGTATACACAATCCAGGGCCAAGGCTACGAGTATCAGGAGGCAGGTTCTGGCCGCAATGGTGTTTGCATTCTTTACCGATTCCAGAGAGAGATCACCATCGACATGTTGATGCCGCTTTGTCTTACTTCGACTCAGCCACACCCACCTCAGTTGGATAGGCTTCGGAGAACATGCACCTTCCCATACTCGGTCTAGATAGGAGAAGACGATATAGGACAACTCTTGCTGATGTATTTAAACTCACAGTGGAAACTCACACAATGGAGGGAGAGGGAGACAGAGAGATAGACAGCCAATGGACGAACTTAAGTGGATGAAGGAGTGTGACGACCGGTGACTTGATGAACTAATCTGAAACTCTAAAAGACATGATGATATTCTGTTTATGAGAAAGACAGAGGAGATTGTGCAAAATGGTGTGTGTGTGTGCATATCGTACTCATATCTGTGTTTGTGTGCGTGCATGATCGGCAACTCAAGGTGTGCAGCGTATATACATATACATATATATGGCTGTGTATGGAATACAACATCTGTACACACCAGATAGATGCATGCACATATAGGTTCACAATACTGGTCGGTGTAAACTCTGAACGAAGCATGACTCTCTCACTGCCGGCAAAAGTCGATGCACAGGGCACTCCACACCACAGCAGCCCGTTGCGTTTCAATCTCAATGTGTTCTTTAGTGCGTGAAGAAATCCGCGGACGGTGAGCACGTCATGCTCAGTGTTCAGCATGATATCATAGGAGCACCTTTGGACTCGATTCTGTAATTGCGACTCCGATGCTTAGACAATCATGGATGTACGTAGATCTGAGCTTCTGTCGCTTGAAGCCCAGCCGCTCCTTATTAGTTCCAGGGATCTCTGTTCAATTTGATAAGAACAGCAACACTTGACTCCTTTGAGAACACGAAGTGCAAATGCAAATGAGGCAAGCTGCTGCAGCACTTGGTCAGTGTGGCGCTGCCGGCGTACAGCTCAACAACATCCAGCTCCTGGTGGCTTACTACATTGGAGGGCCTTGGAATGATTAGAATTTAATATTGCTAGACTCCAAAAGGAAACCAGGATTATCTGCATTAGATATATATCTAATGCCTGCTTTGGCTCGATCGCCAGCTCAAGCTGCAGCTCAATAATGTAGGCACCATAGGGTTCTCCCATTAAGCCCGTATAAACCCTAAATTTGTAAACCTCAAAACCCTTCACCCTAAACATTACACGGGGATCGGAGCAGGAATCCGTACTGCTAAACCCTAAACCCTATAAACCCTAAACCCTAAACCCTAAAACCCTAAACCCTAAACCCTAAATCCTAAACCCTAAACCCTCCCCGGGGGATCCCTGGGAAGCTCCTCGGTCCGACCCAGACCCGAAAAATGTAGACCCGAAAAAATGTAGGACACTTTGAATTATAGGGTTGAGAGTTGAAGGTTTAGGGAAAACAAGGTTTAGGGTTTAGTGTTTAGGGTTTAGGGTACAGCAGGCTTTTAGGGTTGAGAGTTGAAGGTTGTTGTTTAAGTGTATTGGCTCCTTTTCAGTGGAGTTGAAGGTTTAGGGTTGATAAGCCTGTAGGCATTTAGCGTTTAGAGTTGGGGGTTAGGGTTTATAGGCCTTTAGGTTTTAGAGTTGAAGTTTTAGGGTTTATAGCTGTCTGAAGTATAGGCCTGGTTTGCAAGCCAAAGGGCTCGCTGCCACATACGTCGGTCTTGTCGCTCAGCGAAGTTCAACTGAATCAGGTAGTCGCACATCGAAATCCTTGTGCTGCGATTTATGGCTGGACCATACGACTGCGGAGGAAGTTATTATCCGAAGGTGAGTGACTCGCCAGCATATAACATAGAGTGTCCAAGGCACAAAACATATGGCACACCCCAGTTCAGCAAGTTCGTAGCAGCCCGACGGCTCAATTGCATAGCTTCGGGCATGGTAAAGGAAAGAACGGCCGGCTGTTTCGAAAAGTACCATGCACCATGCAATCATGTCGAATCGCTCAATGTCGCACTCTAAGCCAGTCATGGCACCATCCGGAGTGCACGTGTACTATATGCAAAGCAAGGCAAGACCATGCGAAGCAGCAATGCACAACATTTCCAGCCGAGGGCCGCTGTCCTAAAATCGCAACACACATCGTCTCGCTTGCTAGGTCTCTAGCCCCTTGGGATCCCAAAACTGCTTTGCTGGCCGTTGCCAGCACACATGATCACGTAGAACCTCAGCCTTTAATCGGCCAGCCGGCAAGCTGGCGTGCGAGATAGAAGGCATTCTTCCACCCGCCGTATTTGGCAACACTTAAAGATGTTCCGTCTTTGCCGTCTACCTTGAACTCCTTCTCCGAAGCCTCGACACCGTCCTTGGGCAGATCCTTGGCCTTCTTGTTCACGGTGCGGTTGACATACACCACGGTTGTCTTCCACCTGCGATTCGTAGCAGTAGTAGTCGTCGTCAAAGTAGTAATACGTAGAGTAGTAGTCGTCGTCGTTTTCGTATATACAGTAAGTGGTTTTCGTAGTAGCAGCAGCAGTATGATAGCTAGTATGGGTAGTAGCCATAGTTGTGGTGGCAGTGGTGGACATGTGTTGATGTTGTTGTTGTTGTTGTT